TGAGAGTCTAGATCTCTGTGCAAAACGTTAAGTTATTAGCCAGATGTCCAGAAATGTGAAAGAGGAAACTATCGAACTATTCAGTCTTTCCACTTTAACCTTTCAGGAGTGCAAACAGATACAGAACAAGACTGACCACTATTCCCCTAAAAATATTAACTAAGGGTTGTTGAAGTCAGAACTCCTCTTAATTCAACTTACATGTTTTTGGCTCAGAAAACAATAAAACGTCCCATCATGAGCATCTATGAACAGGGAAAATATTTGCAGCAACGAACAATCACAGTGTCCTGAACTTCACCAGATTAATTAATTAACACACCATGAAAATAAGTGAAGCAAGCTGCCAAAATCCCACAAGACATTTTAAAGAAGAAAACGTAAAATGCAGGTCCGAGCCAAGTACGTTGCCTCATATGACTCCAACAAAGCACTTCTGGGGTGTATTAGAGAAAGAAAGCACAGTAACACTACACATCAGGCAGACAGAGCTGGTGAAAAAAAAAAAAACACTTCTGTGAAGGAAGGCCAAGTATTTCTTAAGATATTTGTGCAATGTTGGTATTCCCCAAGCTCTGCAGGACTGGGGCTGTTAGAACAAAACACTCTGTGGACGGTTTTAAAAAATCTATTTCAGATTTTAACTCTGCTTTTCATGCATCACGTCCTCTCCAGCACAAAACTGATGAGGATTTAGTCATGTTAACTTTTGCAGATACAACTACTGTTGATAATTTGTATTCTTTATAATTTTTTGTTATCATTATTATTATTAATCAAGGTAAAACAATAAAATGTGGATTCCAGGACAAACGCATAAAAACTGCTGCTTTACTATTACTAATCAATGACAGAATGATAAAAAAACTTTATGAATTTCACCAGACTCGTGTTTGCATTGATAAAGATGTTGCTTGTTAGGAAAATGGGTTTGGTTGATGCAGCTACTGTAAAAACGTTTTAAAGACAATTTAAAATGTTTTAGATCTTACTTACCGTATTTTCCGGACTATAAATCGCAGTTTTTCATAGTTTGGCTGGGAGTGCCAAACTATGAAAAATGTGTGGAAATTAACACATTATTATATCATATCAAATGTTATTTTCACTCTTAACCGCAAGAGGGCGCTCTAGGCCTGTGTTATTCTCTCTTCGGAGTTAGCAGAATTGTTTAAAAGCGACACAGAGGACGAAGATTTCACTGTGTTTAGTGATTTAGATTTGGTGAACTTGTTAGCATGATATTATTTGCCATAGTTTTCTGAATAACTCTTAACATGTTATGTTAACATACCAGACACGTTCTCAGTTTGTTGTTTTTCATGTAACGTTAGCATACTGTACCATTATTCAGCCTGTTGTTGCCTCTATTCTATTTTTATTGCCTTTCAAAATGACATATCTGTTCTTGGTGTTGGATTTTATCAAATAAATTTCCCTCAAAAATGCGACTTATACTCCGGAGCGACTTATAGTCCGGAAAATACGGTATAAGTTTTGTGGGTATTCTCTTTATTTTCAGAGCTGAGCGTTGAATATTACCAGAATAAAAACATGAATGGAACTTTTTCCTGGATTAAAGGCTGCACAGTTTTACAGCTTTGGCACAAGGCTCACATCAGACACATATTTCACCAAAATACCTGACTGACAGTCCTGCTATGTTACAGCAATGAACATTATTTTCATCTACTGATGAGAGTTTTAGCTTTTTCCAGGATAACATGCATTAGCCATTTGTAGGTAACTTTATACAAGATCTGCCCCTGGCAAATTTAAGTTCTGTTTTTATTAAATTAAGTTTGTTTCTGAGAGTAAATGGGAGCCATTTATCAAAAGATTATTTGGTTTATGAAAATGATTTCTACAAATAAGTCATGCTTTTATTTTTAAGACATAAATTTAAAAATTTGGCATGTTTAAAATAATACCCTTAGAGTTAAAATGGAAAACTCTTTATTGCCATCACTGCGGCGATTTCCATATTTCCTCTGGTATTTTGATGATTAATATTTAGAGCTCCAAGTCTTTGAGGTTGGACGGACTCTTTACCATCACCATAATATTGTGTTTTTTCCAGAGATTCTCTTTTAGATCCACATATTTGATTCTCAATGGACCAAACTAAAATGCTGGTACTGCTTCCAGCCAGAAGAAACATCTTGATTAAACTAAAATACAACATTAAACCTGACAAGGGTATGAATAATTTGGCCTTAAAAGTTTATTGACTTTGGTGCTGTTCTTTTCAGAATTTCACAGTTTACATTTTTACAGTATTCAGTTATTCTTACTCACTTTGAGGATGTGTCTGACCCACTCTGGTTATGATCAGGGGTCAGAATCAGGTCAAATGTCCCAAAGACGGACAATAACTACACCTGATGTAACTGAAATTTTCATAAAAAAAATTTAAATGCAGATTACGATGGTGTAAAACAGTTAAAATTGAAAGTAGCAAGGGACAAAATGCTGTCTTTTGGGTAGGAAATGGATGGTAAGAAGAGTCAAAAATATTATAGTCAAGCTTTCAGACACCTTAAAGGTTAAATTCAAGTTAATAAATCAAGCCCATTGTGTCCTAAAAAGCCTGTTTAAGTCAGAAATCCCAGTGGAACCTCCATATGTTGAGGCTTTAGACCCACTGAGTGATGAATCTGGTAAGACGAGGCACAGCCCGTCAGACAGACAGACAGACAGACAGAAATAAAGAGAGCTGGAGGAGAGCCCTGTCTCTACATGCACGGCTGGTGGAAAAATGTCTCCCTTAATGGATCCCAGCTCTCTGCAGCCCTCAGAACAGCCAAGGGAATAAAATACGGTATAACATTATGATTACACTGCAATTATCAATTATGCTTTCTCTTTCATACTTGGACTATTTCTCTTTGCACAGATGCACAAACTCACACGTCTCAGACATTTGCATGCATGTTCGCACTTCTATTTTTTTCTTAAAATGGACAAACAAATGTAAAATCTCCATTTTAATAGCAGCGTGATGCTGCAGCAGTGCAGTTTAGTTGGTTAAAGGTGAGAGCAGCCTCCCCTTGTCAGAGCTAGCTGACCTACCTTCTCTGTGACTAATTGAAAAGAAAAACACTTTTCCCCGCTTTTGTATTCCCAGCCAGACAGGCAATTAAGTATTGCTCAGATCAGATAATAAATCAAAGAGAGCCGAGGGTTTTTTTTAGTTTATTGACCATATAAAGAGATGTAGCAAAACACCAGGCTGAATATATTAGGTGGAAAGGTGCTCCTGGTGCCCAATTATCACTACGTATCTAGGTCTGAATCTGCCAGCCTCATTTATCTTCATTTTTAAAAAAACTGTGTCAGCTCTGCTGCTATTCAGCTTGAGCCTTGCACTGAATGTGCTACCAAAGAAATAAAGGACTCAAATGTTCTGATTTCGAAGATTCAAAGAAAAGTGCACCATTACTTTTTTTTATTATCTCATTAAACTTGAATCTACACAGCTGAACAGCCCTAGAGCATATCGGTGTATAAATAGCCTAAAACAATAAGGCGTTTCCAATAAATTACAAGAAACACAAGCTTGACGAAAAAGGGTTTTTTCCCCATTGAGGTTGAGATGCTGGGACATGGCCAGCTGTCTGCTTCTCAGCACCTGAGCAAGGATGTCAACCTGCCCTGAGGGCCGAGCTTTCAGAGCTTAACTGGAGGATTTAATCCAGTGGTATTAGTTGGAACAAGTGCCTGCTGAAAGAAAGCTTACTCACACTAAAAGTTAAACCTTTCAGACAGTCTGGACTCCCTGATGCGTCACTGATTTTCCCAGCTATTAGACAGAAAACTGTTTACTTCTTCCAGAAGCTGAATTTTTGGGGACTTTGCAGATCAGAAGCATGAACTGAGTGGTGTTTATAGAGGAGCAGCCACCATGCGATACCAGGGCGGCTTTTACAGCAGAGAGTGTTTGGACTCGACAGATGAGTTGTGCCATATGTCCAGTTTGGATGCCCAGAGTTGGAGACTGCTCACATCCCCACCCCAATTAAAACAGACCAACAACGGCACCACATAACATAACAAAAAAATACCCTCATTTTATTTTCACTTTGAAAAAATAAATAAAAAAAACTTTCCATCTCTAAGGTGACAATCCTTGACTTCCACTGCATTACAAAAGTATTCACACTTCTTTAGCATTTAGCCAAATTACAACCATAAACCTGAGGGCATTTTATTTAGTTTTGCTTTGATTGGTCAACACAAAGTGGTGCACAATTAAAATATGACTAAACATATATACAAACAGATCTTGGTTCAAGTCGAAAGAATCTGGTACAACTGCAAACAAACCAAGACCTGGTCATTAAACCGAAAGGCAGGAAAAGCAGAGCAGAGCATCAGAGAAGCAGCTATGGTAACTCTGGAGGAGCTGCAGAGAGCCACAGTTCAGGAGGGAGTATATTTATTTCCAGTTAGCCCATGGCAGGAAAAGTAATATCACTGATGCAAAACTTTCAAGACATAGGGAATACTTTGTCTTGAAAGTATTCTTGAAAGTGCAAGGCATAGTAGACCGTCTCTAGTCATTTATTCTAATAAATTCAGTGCATTTCTTTTAGCTTTTGTCGTCTTGCTCTTTCAGGTATTTTCATCTCTGGAAATCCCTGAACAATTACCCAGCAAGCAGCTTCCCCTCACCGTCTGCTGCTGTGTAATTTAGAGGAAGCTGCAACAGCAACGCCATGCAGGGCCTCATTAACATCAACCTTTCTAGACCACAATCATTCCTTACACGTGTAGACGTACACACATCAGGCTGCAGACTGACACACACACACACACACACACACACACACACCACACACACACACACACACACACACACACACACCACACACAACCCCACACACACACACACACACACACACACGGCACAAAAGGCGAATACATTCAGGAGAGGGAACATGGCTCTCCAAATGAGAACAACTCAATTGTCTGGATTTTCTCCTAAAGATCAGACTTACCGCTGCCCTCTGGAAGGCTCCTTTGGTGTAGGTGCCTCCTCCTCTGTAGTTGATGGCGGGGATCTCCTGGTTGAACAGGGAGCACTTGTTTTGGTGGGACTTGGGCGCCGAGATGTGGTCCACCCTCGTAACCACGTGGGTCTTGGACGAGAAGGTCACCAGCGCCACTCGTGTGTTCTCCGGCGCCACGGGGAAGTCGGACAGCATCTTGCGGATGAACCTGAGCTCGCTCTGGAAGTTGTTGGACCCTACGCTCGAGGACTCGTCCACCAGGAAGACGAGGTCCAAACAGGCGCTTTTCTCCCGCAGCTCGCGGACGTTTTGCTTGAACGCCTGTCCGAGACGCTCCACCTTGCTCTCGGCGCTTTCCGACAGGTTGCCGGACGGCGTCGGGGAAGACATCTGTCTGGACCTTCGAGACTTCTGCTGCCGCTGGGACTGCTGGACGGCCGGCCCGGCTGAAGTCCACACATCCAAGAGGCACAAGATAAGAAGACAAGCAGTCGATGGTGCTGTTAAAGAGCGAAACATGGTGTCGATCAGCACAGCACCTCGGCTGAAGCCCTTTTGAATAAAGGAGGTAAAATGTAGATTGTCTTTTCTGGAGCAATCAGTGACCGTAAACGTATCCTGTCACGTCAGCAGTCTGCAGGATAACTCAGTTCAGAGTTCCTCAAAAGCATCGCAAGAAGAGGATGAAGATTCTCTCATTCAAAACGCGGTTCCTTCATCTGCTTCCCTCATGAAAGAACGAAAGAAAACACGTTTCTCCTGCAGTCCGATAAATAAATATATCTTTGCCCTTGCTCTTTGTACAGTCTCTACGTCGAAACGTGCTATTTTTGTTTTTCCAGGGAGTCAATACTCCTTTATCTGTCCTCTTGCGTGGCTGTCAATCACCTATCTGCTCTGTATGTAGGATCCAGAACCCCCCTGAATGCCTCTCCAGTCCCAGTCTGCAGCCCCTCAGGCTCCTGTTCGTCTGTGTGACGCTCCTGCCTGCACCGTCGGCCGAGCTCAGAGTGCTTGTCCCCCTCTTCTCCCCAAATCATTTAAAACACACACAGAGGAGGAGGAGGAGGGCGAAGGGAAGGAGGGAGGAAAAAAGTTAAGAGAGGTTGAGAGGAAAAAAGGGGGCAGTCCAGCCGTGGCGTAAAGTCATTTTTTCCCTTCATCTCTCCTCCTCTTTTTCTCCCACCTCCCCCTCTTTCCCTATCTCTTTCTGCCTCCCCGGTCCCCCTCCTCCTACTTGTCTCTCTGCCGGTATTTGTCAATCTGTCTCATCTAGACGGTGGACGGAGGCTGCATGTCAGCGCGGCACATCGCCTGTCAAGCAGTCAGCATTCCAGAGGAAACTCATCAGCAACAGGCGCTGTGATCATCTCCATATGTCCACACTTTCACACATCAGACCGGTGGCATCCGACGAAGATCAAGCACACGGAGGAGGGAAAGTGGAGAAGCGGTCTGATTAAACACATCTAGGGAAACTACCAGACACGTCTGAGGTTTAGTACTTGTGAAGAAAGAATTTGGATCTCTGTCCAGCCGAATCTCAACTCATATCTTGTTCAACACATCAAGCCAGACGACAGACTGTCCTTTCTGTACTTTGGATTTGTCTGGTTTTTCACACAGAGACACTCAGTCTCCCAAGTTCGCTTTCTTTCTACTTCTGTAGTTTTGTTTTTCCTGGGTGATTTTTATCTGTAACCAAAACAAAGGCAGGCGGCATTACACTGTGCCTATTAAAGCAAAAACTTGGGTTTTAAAGTAAAAACCTCTTTTGTCATAAAGCTGTGGGGAGCTGTAAAGTGGAAAGAGACAAATTTATCAGCTTTCCACATGTAGAGCCTGAAATATGTCCTGATTCCTCTGTATAACGTCACTCAAACTCAGTCAGATTGAATGTAGAGGGATGTCTGTTCAAGTCTTACGACTGTGTTTCAGTTCAGAGGTTTTTCTCGTCCTGGGTTTATCTCTGGTCACCTTCGCGTCCGCTCTGACTGGCTTCCCTGTTCCTGGTGAAGGGAACCAGCTCCACAGCATGATGTGGTCACCACTGTGTTTCAGAGTGGGCCTGGTGTGTTTTTCTGTCGCCCTCATCTGATAAGAAAAAGCTTCTCCCACACAGGCACTGCCCTACGAGGCTCGTCACAAACTTAATGGGACTTTTGTTGACTTTCTTTCATCAGATGTTCCTTTCTTGCTACTATTCCCTAAAGATTTGTAACTCTGACACATTTTTCCATCTAAGTTGTGGAGCTGTGCAGCTCCTCCAGAGTCATTATGGGCCTCTAAAACAGCCTGCCAGTTTAGGAGGATATCATGTCTTGGTTGGTAAGTAAGTTATGAAAATTGTAAAAATGTCTGCGTAGTAGTGGTTCTATCTGAGAAAGCGACAATGAAAATATGTGATAAAGTCCTAAATCTCTTTGGCCACGTACACACAGCAGGTCTTGATTCCTCAATACAGATTTTTTTTTTATGTTTTATGGTTCACACCGCCAATAAAAGCCCACCAACAATGAGTCTTCTGTGTGAATGGTTTACAACCCCACGGCGATCTGCACAGGAAAATTATGGATTTGTTTTTGAAGTTTATTCAGCAATGGGAGCCAGAAATATTGTCACAAGATCAGGAAGGGAGCTAATAAAAATAAAGCACAACTAATCATTGCCTAATGACTAACTAATGGCCTTTTCTGGAGCATTGTCTGCAACATCTGTAGAAAAGTTTAACTGGCGCTTTGAAAACCAATCTGATGTGCGATTTGGCACCATATGTGGAAGTGGCACAGATCGTTCATTTGTTCACTGCACTGATTTTGACCCGTTCTTCAACACAAACAAGCAGTCTGATGACTGCCATAAAAAAGTCAGATTCAGGTCCATATGGGCAAAAGGAAAATTATTGTTTCTAATAATCTCCAGGAAACTACACAACACAAGTAATGAGTTTTTAAACATCTCTACTTTCAAGAGAATCTTTAAACATCTCAGCTCTTTTTAAGAAAAACTCTCTTTGTATCTGAACTTGTGATACGGCGCAAAATATTAATATTAATGTTTTGCAAAAATTGAAGTAAAGAGACATCAACTCTTGGAGGTCAGGATTCTGAAAGAAAACAGCTGAACAATTGAGCTTTGCATTAGCTAACATCAGAAACTGTACAGAGTACAGCTGAACTCTGGAGAGATACAGCAGCCCATGAAAACCAGTGGGTGAATTAACCTCTCTTTTTTCCACAAGGACACAGCAGAGGGCTGCATCTTTAATACATCTACTATGAAGGGCTCAGCCCTGCATCTTCAACGCTGAACCATGGATTTGTTCACGCCGAGTTTACGAGCAGCAGCTTTATTTCCCTCCTCTACAACCAGATTGATGCTCCTCGTCTTAAAAGCAGCGTCTTTTCCTTTGTGTTGCTTCCATCATGAGGGGTTTTGTGTCTGAAAACATTTCTCCTTCGTGCCTGCTGCTAGCATGTGCTTGTTCTAAATAAAAATGAGCACTTTCTTCTTTGATTTTTGATTTTGACTTCCAATAATCAAACCGATGAGGTCAATGAGCTAAGTTATGGACAGACACGGAAAAACTACTGAACACCCTTAAAATATACCAAATGCTTCATACAAAGGCCCGAGTGAATGGCGAGAGCTTCATGATGGACCCAGTTGGAAGAAACTAGTGTTCTGCTTTTGACCCGTTCTTCAACACAAACAATCATCCGACCCTGCAGGCAGAACCTCCTCTGTGACGGTCAGCTGATTGACTGCGCCATGCTGGTTGCTAAACCAGAGATTCAATGACTGCAATCATCTTGTTGAACAAATTCACCCTCATTTCATTTTCATCGTCCTGGTAAATGGAAGCAGGAATGTCTTGTTTATTTTTGTCCCTTCAATTATACAAAGTCAGCCAGAATGCTGAGAAACACCAACCTAACTTCACTCAGTTGGTGTTTTGAGGGATGATGTGAAGCGCCTTTTCATGTGGTATATTGAAGGCCATAATATACTAATTTAATCTATATTATGGCATTCAATTAGCTTAATTTAGATCTGATCGAACCAGGCCATTCTCTCACAGCAGTTCACAGGTTTGTTCAAAAACCTGCGGCGCCTTGTGTCGTCTTGAGTGGCGAAAGGCAATGGTGGTTCTGTGAAAACCTTCTTGTTTACTTTGACAATAATTATGCCAGTTAAGTACCAGATTTTCTGAAGCTCAGCAAGAGTTGTCCTTGGCTTTTGGACAAATCCTCAGAAACTTGTCTGGCAGGGAGAACCTGGATGCAGTGGATTTTAGTATGATGATGCCAGGACTGAACAATGCTACCTGGAACCTTCAGTAATTTGGAAATTCTTCTGTAATTGATCGTAAAAAGCTGTAAATGTCTTGAGAGAATTTAGTGGATTCACCTATTGAGAGATTAAGAACGTTTTTAGGCCATAAGGAAGGTACCATAACTTTTAGAAACAACTATGTTTTGACTTCTCATGGATGTCGACGTGTTTGAAATGTGTGTTTACTTTCTGTATGTACCTGGAGAGAATTAAATATCCAAGTTTATTATTATGTTCAATAAACAGGAGTATGCACTGCAATACAATGCTTATTAAGTAGGCGTTAATGTGTTTTGAGAGACCTGGACGACTGATACATCAGCCAGATAATGGTACTGAAAGCAAACAGCATTCATGGTTTTTCTCTATTCTTCGTCAAGGAGTGAGAAACTATTAAAGAATGTTAAGTATAGGTGGCCTGTGTGCACGTCTCCAAAGCACTCTGTTGCACTATAAGCCCCAAAAATGCTCACAGCTCAGACAAAGTGTTTATTTGGCCCATAAGCCATACTTTAACTACACTGGAAACCTCTGTAGAAGTAGGAAAAGAAAGTAGCATCATACCAACCAGATAAACTGACTGGAAGAGCCACTCGGACCCAAACACTGGTGTGCACAGGCTGAAGACACGCACCCTGACCTAAATTCACGCACAGATGCTGCTACATAGACAAAAACATAAGCTCTCAGCCTCGAACATGTTGAAAGGGGGAAGAGCACAGCTGCGACTTCCTGCATTTTGGCATGTGGAGACCCCTAACCAGACTTCTGCATGGCTCCCAGGAGAGACAGGGGGAGTGGTGGATGCAGAGGAAGTTTGAGGGCATGCGTGTTGATGGGAGGGGCTGTGTGTATTTATCTTAAATATTTCAGTAAAATGCACAAAGATCCAAACTTTTGTGTTGGTAAGAGTTAAAAATAAGGAACCGCGGGAGCAAATCTATCACACAAAAACCAGAACAACATACAGACCTGAGACGTATTGCACATGAAATGAGAGCAAATTAAGATACTTTAGACAGGAACTTACAAAATATTCACGTCTATATAACCTTTGGACATTCAGAGACTGAAATGTCCACACATTTTTCTTTAGAAAACACCTCAGATCGGACAGACTGACAGATTATATCGTGTTTTCAAATTCCACAACATATTTAAAACCGGAGGCATATCTGGACTTTGACTGGGTCGTTGTAGCACATGAATAAAACACTTCTGTTGCACCTCCGGCCGTCTGCTTAGGGCATTAATTCTGCTGGACAATGTCCCAGCACCAAGTCCTCTGCAGCCTGTGCAGGTTGGACTCAGATAGAGGCTGAAAAACTGAAAAGTTGTTCTGAAGACAATTAATCAGATTAAAGGGAGCAGAATACAAATACGCTTCACACGTTTGTACTTTGTTTTTCTTTTGTTTAGACTTCACGAGTACACTCTGGTACGTGTTGGTGAAGGTTAAAGCGGTATACAAACTTTTGCAAGACGTTATGCCGAACCAAATGGACTTCTACAAAAACAAAACTTAAAAGACTTAAGAATGTGAAAGACATATGAGTTAACACAAACATATTCACTCTACAAAATCCTGGACGGTTAAGTCTTAAAGACGCAGAACTGCCTATGTTGTTCTTGCGGTTTCTTCTTCCGGAAACTGAAGCCGTCTTTGGTCACATGGAGCATTTTATGCCCGTTGGGAGGAA